GGTCTCGTGGTACCCTAGGGTGGAGAAAGGAGGGTGGGAAAGGACAGCCTTGGGACGGGTATGGGGTGACAGAAAGGAAAAGGTATTTGTCACCAACTTTGGTTCCTATACTTGCTCCATAGACTCATGCCTGATCTCTACAGAGAGAGCACCTGCAGGTAGAGAAGGAAGGGGCTTAAATGAGACAATGAACACATGCCATGCTATTTGGGGGAACAGGTGAAAAAATGTGACGCAAAGTGAGAGAAGAGGCTTCTCTCCACAATGTAGGATCTATGTGGCTGACGGCCTTGGGGCACAGGGAGAAAGCAACTTTGGGATGAGACACTGCCCTTCAGTGGCCCCATGGCAGGGGTTGGGGAGTGGGGTCAACAAGAAACTCAAAGTGGAAGAACAGGCAAGAGAGGAAGCACATTGCAGAGACCACCATATCATGCCTCCCAGTAATAATGGGAAGGTGGAAGGCAGCAGTGTGTCTGCATTTGGCAGGTGGAGGCTCAAGCCAATGCCATGTGAGTATTACCACTAATGTAATAACTATTCTTGTTAGGGCTGCTGTGTATAGGAAATCTAAGTCCCTACATGCACAAAAGTTGTGGGAACACCAAAAAAAAAAAAAAAAAGCACTTATGTTCTGATCACAAGATTAAGCAGAGTGATGCCTATACTGGTTAATAATGGAACTGAGGTCTGGTAGTTGGAGAGACAAGAGGGCCAAGATAAGTAACAACAGGAGACTCAGACACCAGTGTTGGGATTGGGGGGAACTGAGAGATGGTGAGAGGGAGTTCAGTCTGGCCCTCCCTTCCCCACAAACAGAGGGGCTTAAGAAGCTTACGGAGAGCTCCCAGTGGAGGATTCAGCAACATGAAACTAAAAGAAATGGCCTGGAGGCAAATAACTAGACAGAAATGTCTACAAACAAATTCTAAAAATAAGACTTATCTCCTAAACTAAACAAAATGAAATTCTACCTATGTGCACTTAGTTAAATAAAATTCAAACAAAAAACAACCTTTCAAACATCACTAAAGGGCACATTAAAAAATACGTCCCTGCTGCCCTCAACCCCCTTCCCCAGAGAAGCAGTTGGTAGCTGCCTGGCATGACCTTGGAGTGCTGCCCCCCAGAGTCTTGATCCATCATTACAGGGTGAAAGCATAGATGTTAGGGGACCTCCAGGATCCCTTGAGCATAAGACCAGCATCCATCTCTGCATGTCAGTGCCGAGCCAGTTGTTAAATATTCTGAACATCACTGGTATCCTTCTGGAAATATGTGCGCATATACAAGTATATCCCTACACACACCTCTTTTTTCCTTTCCATACAAATGGAAGAACAAAATAAATAGCGTTCCACATTTTACTTTTTTTGTGCCTACTTGGTCTACCTTTAAATGCATGAATATACGCTGTATGTTTTTCTTTCAGAAATAACAGAATTTAGGTACAGAGATAACAGAATACCTAAAGCTGAGAAGTGGAGCACAGTAGTAACAAGAGAGACTTTGGAATAGCCTCTGGGAGCTTTTCCTCAGGCACCAGTGAACCAGGCCAATGGCGAGTGGGGAAGCCGCTCTGAAAGCTGGAATCTGAGTGCGCCACTCCAGGCTAACAGCGTCCTGAAGGCTTAGGCAGAAGGGAAAAGGAGGCTCAACATCAGTCACATTGCCCAGGAGGGATCCAAGCTTCCTGGAGTCCCGACTCCTAGTACCCAAATTCAGCAGTTACCTAGAATCAAACCAGCCCTGGGTGGCAGCAAGTTAAATTTCAAATTTCACACTCTGAACTTTTTCCAGGGAGTTTTTCCTTCATTCAAAAGAGACATAAAATGAAGTTCTTCATAAAAGAGCTAAAATGTATTTCTCCTAATTGTCCCATTTTTACCTTAAATGCTGAAGGAAACATAGAGTTTTATTCATGAGAGAGAAAATATTTATAAACTAATATTGAACCAGCTTTTAAAGTATACTCTACATATCGAAAAGTCAAGAGCACCAGGTGTACTCTTCTTATAGGTATGTTTATTTAAAAAACCCCCAAGAACCAGTATGGGGCAGAAGGCAGGAGTGTTAATTTTCCATGTCCCATTTCTAAGTTTCTACACAGTACATTTTCATTATTTTAATATAAACGAGAGAGAGGCAGAGATTGAAGAACAATTACAATGGAGGGTGTAAACTGCATAGGAGGAGGACGGGGAGTGGAAGCAGAAAACTATTATCTAATACTTTTGTTGTTCCCTGATGTCCCCAGAAATGTCGAGGCTAGAAAAGTCATAAAGGAGCAATTTCTGCTGATAGACTGTCATCTAGTGGTATCATATGAGTAGCTGCTGAGCTTTGGAATGTTTTTAGAAAATATGCTTATTACCCTTTAAGATCTAGGGGGGGTCTATGGTCATACCACCCTGAATATGCCCGATCTTGTCTGATCTTGGAAGTAAGCAGGGTCAGGCCTGGTTAGTGCTTGGATGGGAGACTGCCTGGGAATACTGGGTGCTGCAGGCTTAAAAAAAAAAAAAAGACTAGAGGGAACCTTTGACAATACTGTCACAAGCAGAACATAACTCACATTTGTGCCTCCCAGAGGTCTAATGTCCTTGTCGGCAATAGCTAAAACAGGCTGCACATTCTTCAAAAGGAAGTTTTGCCTCTGCAATTATTTGAATATTGTCAAAGAAGACCTGATAGGCAAAATTAGTAACAGTAACTTTCCTTTCTGTTTACAACTCATGGAATTGTCAGTGTTCTCCCTGCTGATGGTCAAAGTAGGCCCATATTTTCAAAGGTTTTCTCCATTTTTAGGTGTTGACAAAAGAGTGTATGTAACCCACTGGCCAAATAGGTCTAGAGATACAATTCAGGACAAGGAAGTCACAAACTCAGCAACAAGACAATGTTCCCCAGATTTAATCTATGCCAGGAATCCATCCTGCTTGGTCACAAAGAGGCATTACGGTCCTCTTTGTCCAGTCCTTACTCTCTGTGTCACACCAGCCCTCTTGGACAGGAGGGTTCCTGTTGCCTTATTCATGAGAGAGAAAATGCTTGTAAACTAAACTTGAACCAGGTTGTAAACTATATTCTACAAATTGAAAAGTCAAGACCACCAGTATACTCTTCTTGCATGTATGTTTATTTTAAAAATCCAAAGAACCAGTATGGGGCAGAACCTATGGAGGAGGACAGTATGGAGCAGAAGGCAGGAGTGTTAATTTTCCACGTCTCATGTCTATATTTCCATACAACATATTTTCATTATTTTAATACAAATGAGAGAGAGGCAGAGATTGAAGGAGAATATTTCCAATGGAGGGTGAGAACTGCATAGGAGGAGCAGTCACCCTGCCCCCCTCAGTGGTAAAGTCTATGTTCAGACAACAGAGCCAGCACACAGCTCTCAGTTACCAACATCCATTCAGCACGCCATACTATTTCAACCATTTCTACAGTATAGGCATTACATGTGTCACATGAAACAGAACGGACAGACCACATCCACACCAAGAAGTTGTGATCAAAAGGGAAAGCACTGGGTGTTACAAGGAAGGGTTGTCACCTACATTGGGAAGATCTGAGTGAGGTCCCTCTTAGGAAGGTTGCATCTGTCACTTATCAGAAAAAGGTTGGAAAAGCATCCTGGTCACATGCCAAAGCCCTGATCTTGGTAAGGACTTCGGGCTTCTGAGGAACTGAACAGAGGTCAGATGCCATAAACTAACTCCACAGAAATAAAGAACACCACAAAATTCTAGGAGGCTTAAAACCTGCAGTTACAATAGCAGCACTATTCATAACAGCCAAAGAGTAGAAACAATTCAAATGTCCATCAACTGACGAGTAAATAAAATGTAATATAGTCATACAATGGAAAAGATAAAAATGTCTTATAGCCATACAATGGCGATAAAAACGTGTTATAGCCATACAATGGCTATAAAAATGAATAAAATACTTGAAAATGTTATGTTAAATGAAAGAAGCCAGACACAAAAGACCACATAGCATGGCTAGGTGAAGTGGCTCATGCCTGTAATCCCACACTCCCACACTTTGGGAGCTCAAGGCAGGCAGATCTCTTGGGCTCAGGAGGCCGAGACCAGCCTGGGTAACATAGTGAGATATTTATCAAGGTTTTCGCTTATCAAAATATAAACAGAAAATTTGCCCAGTGCAGTAGCACACGCCTGTAGTCCCAGTGACTTAGGAGGTTGAGGTGGGAGGATCGTTTAAGCCTGGTAGGTCAAAGGTGCCGTGAGCTATGGTCATGCCACTGCACTCCAGCCTAGGTGACAGAGTGAGAGCCTGTCTCAAAAACAAACAAACCAACCAACCACAAAGCATATAATTCCATTTGTAGGAAATGTGCAGAACAGGCAAATCTATAGATTAGTGGCTGCTTACGACTGGGGGTAGGGGGGGAAATAGAAAAATGAGTGACTACTAATAGCTAGGGGTTTTTTTGGAGGGAGTGATGAAAATCTTCTAAAACTGTGACACGGGTTGCACAATTCTGTGAACATACTAAAAACTATTACTTGGGGTTCTCCGCACGCCTCGGAAACAGCAGCCCAAACCTCACAACGCAGAACCACGAGATAACGGAGATTGCAGAGCCCTGCGCAAGAGAAGGACAATTCAGACGGAGGGGGGCCGAGGAGGTATCCAGCACGCGGGAAGGACCGGCGTGCACAGGGGGCAGGGGGAGGTCTGGACTCGGCGTGGCGCGGGTGAGCGGCGCGCTCTCGGGCACCCGGCCGCCAACTGGGATGCTCCGGATTCTCGGGAGGCCAGGGTGCGGCGCCAGAGTCACTTCAGCCCACGTCGTTCCGGTGAAAAAAGGGCAAACTCCGGGTGTGCAAAACGTCTAGAGGTTTCGGGGCTGGCGGTTCCGGGCGCGCCTGGCCGGCGGCGGCGCAGAACTACAACCCCCAGGCTCCCCCGCGTGGCGGCACGTGGGCCCTGGTCGGACGGCCGCGGTTATAAAACGCGGAGGGGGCTGCCGAGCCGAGCGGCGGCACCGACTGAGCGGAGGCCTGGGTGAGCGCGGCCCGACGGACGCAGGCGGCCCGACAAACTGGGCGTTCGGGCGGAGGGACGCTGGGGCCTGACTCGGGGGCGGGTGAGACCAGGACAGAGGAAAGGGGGAGGCCAGTTAGGCTGGGAAACGGAGCTGGAGAGGGTGTGAATGCGAAAAGTGTGGGGACAGAGTGGGGCAGAGGGACCCCCTCCCCCGGATTCTTTGCAGACAGCATAGCTGCGGGGTCTCAGAGGACCCTTTCTTCAAAACAGAGTTAGCAATTGAGCAGAAGGGAGCTTAATGTTAAATCTGATACATCCCCCCTTCACTTTAGGAGAAATTGATTGTTTTCTGCTTTTTAAAGAACCCCTATTTGTATTTCCTCAAGATAGTCTCTGTCCAGAGCTACATCCTATCCCTATTTTGTCTTAAAACAAACAAACAAAAAACTTTGCCATTTTAAAAAGAATTTGATTTAGGCAGCTTTAATTGTTTGCATTAAGTGTTCTTATCTGTGGATGCAGGTATAAGATTTCAATCCTAATACCCCCTCCCCAATGTTTCAATTATAATATTCTAAATTCACATTAAGCCTTAGGAGAACATTTGAACCATCTGCTTTAGATACTAGCTCTGAAGACTTCAAAGCATAACATTTCCAAGTTTATCTAAAACTTGAATCTTAAAAACATTGATCATTCTCTGTTAAAGTCGTTGTTTTTTAATCCCGTTTCTTCCTGTAGGCGTTTCACAGTTTGCAAAGGCAGTAAACTTTTACTTATTTAGTGTACTGCTCTGTGCAAAGAAATTTTCGAAGCTGTCACTGCCCCCAGATGGCAGACAGTCTAGGAGAGGAGCCAAAAACCATCCTGCCTGTAACTCTGATGTAAGGTTTTTAATGAAAAGCAAGTGTTTGGGGGAATTCTGAGGTTTAAGAAATTTTGGCTGGGGTATCAGGAAATCCCCTGGGTTTTAAAATGAGATGTTTTTATTTATTTATTTTTTAAGCTACACCTGCTGGAATGGATACAGCGAGTTTTAAAAGTTGGTCAGACTGAAGAGGTTGAAGTGAGAGAGCCACAGAAACAAAGGCAAGCAGACAGACGGTGAAAGGTAGGTAGGAGGAACAGGAAACAGTTTGTTCAGCTGGGCAAGTACAGTGCAGGCAGGAAGATTTGAATAGAGACCCAGACCCAGGGAGTTGGGTGTTTAGCCTACTGTCATTTTCTAAACAGGACAAAGACCAGACCAGAAATGCTGGTGTTACTGGAAGATTAATCTGACAGCTGGTGTGAACTGAAGAAGAGAATAGGGATTAGGACAGTGATTGCCAACCACTGTCCAACACTCCCACAGGCCCCTTGTTTTGAATTTTTGAACTAATCAAACTACGTTTGTGGTAATTAGTTTTATTTCTTTCCATCAAAGGCACATATAAAATTGCCAGTTTGAGCTTCTGATGATTCTAAGAACATCCGTGTTACTGTCCTTATTATGAAATAAATGCAGGCAAAACCACAAGAATATGGCATTTTATTTAGCCTGAACAGCCTAGTAGTGTTGGATTTAGGAGAGGTTTAATGCTGAGACTCAGAGCCTGAGACTCAGGCTCTCAGGACTCTTTATCACTTGAACGTTCTTGGGCCCCTTGGACCTGAGGTTTTGCCTATTGGTCTAGATAAGAGGTAACAAAGGGGCAAATTATAAAGGCGTAAGGAGGAAAAGAGGAATTGCAGGGGAAGAAGATAACAGAATTGGAATGACCTAGTCCCTAAATAGACAAGAGTAGTAAGGGTTGGAAAGGAGGCACCAGCAGAGCAAAGATGACTGGGAAGACGATGCTGGTAAGAGCATGATAATATTTTCTACTGTCCTATATACATCAGGCAAGACTTCATGGAGGACACTGAACACATACTATGTGCCCAGTGTCACTTTTCATGAATTAGGTCATTTAATTCTCTCAACAACCTTGTGAAAAACAATTACTATTATCCTCCTTTACAGAAGGGGAAACCACAGCAGAAAGAGGTTACTTAATGGGCTCAAGGTCACCTAGCTGGTAAGTGGTAGAGCCAGGATGCAGATCCATGAGGCCTGACTCCAGAGCTGGCCCTCTCACTCCTCTCCAGTAAGGAACAAAGGAGATGCAGGTTCCCTTTGGGCATGTTAAGTTGAGATGCTTATAGGAGTGCTAGGTGAAGATGTACAGTAGGCATAGCATCAGTCTCCTTTGATGCTTAAACATCCCTATAGTGGGGAGATGGCCTAGGTTATTGGCCTTCAAGGCTCAGAGGCTGAGTGGCCTGTTGATTGTACTGAAGGTAATTAGGGCCACATCTTATGATTTCTTATCTTGTGTTTTCCCATGGTCCAGGTTATTAGATTCATCTTTCTAAACTTCCAGCCTGATTTTGGTCTCATGTTTGAATTAAGAAATACAGAGAAAAGCTACATGCAGGACTTGCTCTTGATGTTAGGAGCAAGTCTTTCTGGGAACATGTCTGTTTGCAAGGAAAGTATCATGTTGTCTTTCTACTGAAAGCAGTCAGTATTTCTCAAGGGCTTACCTGAGCCAAGACTCTCGGGGAAGAAAAATAGAAGATCTGGTCTGTATACTTCTGAAGTTTATTCTCCTATTTGGGAAGATAAGATGAACAATTAGAGCAAACAAAACAAACTTATATAACTAAGTACTACATTATGTAGGTTAGACTTAAGTATAGTGGGCATTGGGTTTTTGAATGTGCCAGTAATGTCAGAACTATAGCATAACCTTTGTTGGTCACCTATAGACATCACTTTATTTGCTACAAGGGCCCCTATCTTTTGTAGAATTGTCATCAAATACTATCTGATTATATTTTATTTTCAATTGTTAGACGTTACATTTGTGGCTTTTTATGTCTTATCGCTCAAAAAACAATAACGCTTCTACAACCAGCAAATGTCAGAGCTGCAAGTTGAACCAGGTGGTCAAATGTCAAGAGCTGTGAGTTGAACCAGGTGTTCTACCTGTGGGACCCAGACAGTTAACCAGTCTGCTCTGTTGCTTCTTGTGGCCCATCTGGAGTCTTTTACACTGATTATGGGCAGCTACAATCTGCCAGATGGTGAGAGATCCTTTGGCCCCCAATGAGTGGTGTGAGTTTAACACTTTCAGTGGTGAACTCCCTATCTGTGGAAGCCATTATCTAGCCACAGTTCTGATCACTTCGTTCAGTCACCCATGTGTTCCTCTCTCTTCAGTTGAACACCTGGTGTCAAGCAGAGGGCTCACTGCAGAGAGCAAAGGCAAATGAAACATCCCTGTCCTGGGATCCTGCTCTAGTGAGGAAGAGGGAGGTGAATATGCAGTTTACATGGTTAACTAGAACTACGAAAACTGGACAGAACTGGGCAAAATTAGGATGTGAAAAGTTAGGTAAATCTGAGGGTAGTTATGTAAATCATGATGATACCTTAAGACAGGCTTGTTTTAGGTGAGATTCTAGCTTAAGAATGAAGACAATGCAAAGAGAAAATGTCCCCTTTTATGACCATATTTCAGTTTAAGTAATAGTACAGTTGACTCTTGAATTACATGGGTTTAAAGTGTGCGGGTCCATTTACATGGATTATTTTCAAATAAAAGTGGATAGAAAATCAGTATTTGCAGGATTCAGAATTCTGATATGCCAGGCTGGGGCTGCGTGACTTGAGCAGGCGTGGATTTTCATATACGTGGGGGTCCTGGAACCGATCCAGTAACCGATGTGTATACTGAGGCATGGCTATAATTCATTGTATATTTTACTTACCTGAGTTAGGTTCAAGCTTTTTCGTGGGCCTGCTGCTGTTTACCTTTATCCTTCGAGGTCTTAGATTGCTTCCATCATCTGTGTAGATAAAATAGGAGCCTGTCCACATAGAATGTTTTCAGGTCTACCCTCTCCTGTCTTAAAGTTTCCTCCTCAATAGAATTAAGCTCTAAAATTTTACCATCTTATACTTGCTCTGCGTGTTTGTGTACTTGTAAGCACAATTTAGAGTTCTAAACTAGAAATGGACTTTGACTGGGAGTTTTATCATTGACATTCCTTGAAGAAAGAGAGAAATTACATTGTATGTTTTCCAGGCCTACCAGCAGCTCAATGGCCTCCCCAAAGAAGAAACTTCAGGGTCTTGTGGCTGCAACCATCACGCCAATGACTGAGAATGGGTAACTATCATTTGGGGTCTTGAGGGGATCAGTTCTCATTCAACCAAGAAGGACAGAAGTTCTTTGTAGTAACGGTCACTTAAGACCCTGCACCTCTGTGGAACTATTGCCAGAAGGCAGCTTCTGTCGTCCATCTGCACTGTCTCTGACCGCCAAGTCTGAGGAGGCACTCTATCTCTGACCCCAAAGTCAGAGAAGCACTGTATCACCTTGCAGAAAGGGAGAAGGTGAGAAATGGCAGCTTGCCTTGCTCCCAGTGTCTGTAGCTCCACAGAGCAAATTCTCCTTGGATTTCACCACAGCCCTGGCCTTTCTAAACAGGGCCAGTAGCATTGGATGAGAATCCCATTTTAGCATAATTTGATATCAAGCACTGTCCTAGCCCCTCTCAGGATCCTGTCTCTAGACGTCAGCATGATTCCACTTCAGGCTGTTCATAGACTTGATGAAAATGTCCTACCCTGAGGAAAGTGGGAGGTTATCTGCACGATGGACTCCTGATTCATGTTTACAGCCTCATTTCAACATTGACTAGATGTTGGGCAGACGGAGGGATGGGGGGGAAGTAACGACAGATGATTGTTGAGTAATCATTACCCCAAGAAAGTATTTTGACCTCCAGAGGAATACAGTGGCAGTCCTTCTGCTCAGAAATCAGATAACAAAAAGGTCCTGTGGCATAGGGAGCCATGCGCTGTGTATAACTTTTCCTTGAACATCGCCCCCTGGCCAAAGAGAGTTCATCCGGATCTATGTTTTTGACCCGTCAGAAGAGTCAGGCTACCAAAACAGATCCATGAAAAATCATATCCTTACTAGGTCTAAATAAGATTCTTGCTGACTTGGCATTCAGATTACTCAGCTGGTTAATAATAATTTTTTTTCTGTTACTTCCCCTTTCCACAAGTTTTAAGAAAGACTGACATCAGCTGTTTCTCAATGCATCAGTCACTGGTTCACAGACCAAACAGAAGACATGTGATTGCATGAATTGTCAGGATTTACTTCCTGTTACAGAGCGAGATCCTGCCTGTAATCCCCTAACGCTGCATCTGGTCCATGCTACTTTAACCTTTTAATAAGACCCCTCTTATCCTGGAAGTGGCTTCTTAAAACAGTCTTGTTTGTTCATCAGGGATGCACTAACAGTGTGAGTGTGTTCTTCCTCCCTATTCTGCTGTTTTCCCAGAAGGCCAGATCCCATAATTAGAGATAACTAAAATGACTTTGTTTTTCTGGATCTTTCTCATTTCCCAAAAACCTGTGGTCCTGCTGCTTCCATTTTACTATTTTCTCATCAATTCTGCTTTTTTCTTCTAGTAACCTTACTTTCCTGAGGTGTGAAATTAAAAAAAAAAAAAAAGAATGAATTATGTATATGGTATTTAAGAAATAAATAGTGTAGGTCAGTGTATAGCACGGATTAGGCACGGGAGCCATGTTAGTTCCCTTTTCTCCCACCACCTGCCCCATCAAACATTCCTATAGCTACAAAGCAGTTTCGGAACACCCACCAAGAACATGTAGGCATTAACCTACTTACCCACAAGGGAATCTGCACTTCTGGCATGTTTCCAAGACCCAAGATGGAAGGAAGGGGCACATGGAATCTAATACCTGGAAATACTGCCAGATGACCTGCCCCTGTGGGACTTCTCCTAATCTGGCATGTACAGTATACATATCCACCATAATTCTGAGTGGCTGAACAAGGACTATTTCCCTGGATCCTTTTTTCTTCTTAATTTCAATGAATGCTCAATAACAATTCAGCTTTCTGCATGTAAGTTGATGTCCTAGAGTACAGCAGCTGCCGGAAAGAACAGGGGTAGGTAGATCTTAGTGAAATGATCTGTGGCCTGGACCCCAAGCTTTACCACCAGTTAGCTCTCTGAGCCTGGGGAGATCTTGTCACCTTTTAAGAGCTCTCTTTCATATTCTTCAAAGAAAGTTAAACCACATTATGTCTATGACCCTTTCCAACTATTAAGAGTCTGTAGTCCTCTGGTGTTATGTCTTGGGGATATTGTGGGGATCACCATGAAATAAGAATGTATAAAGTACCTGTAATTCTAGTCCATTGTCCACACTGTAGCTCAGTGAGCTTCCTAGTAAATAAATCTGATCATGTCACTCTCCTCTTTGGGACTCTTTTGATGCTTTTGTCTAAGCTTTGCTACCCATCATATGGCCAATGGACCAGTTCTACCACCATGAGAACTTGGCAGAAATGCACAATCTCAGGCCCTATCATACCACAGATCAGTCCTGCATTTAACAATGTCCCAGAAGATTCTTTAGCACATTAAAGTCTGAGATGAGCAGACTTCCTGGGATGGCATAGGAAGCCCTTCACTGTTTACTTTTCCTGCTTCATTTCTTTGTCACCGTACCTCTTCTGCCTTCCATGTCTCCACTCATTCTGTTTCCTTTGCCTTTTTCTACCACCATCCTCTTTTTTCTTACTCCACTTGAACACTTCTACTCATCTATCAAAACCATCCTTAGAAATTCTCGCCCAATTATCTTAAAAGGAGTTCAATGACCCTTCTATAGCACCCTGTCCATACTCTTCCCCTGTGATTCCAAGCACGCTTTTTGCCTTGCATTAAAAGTATTTGTTTATAATTATTAAATAACTTTTTGTTACTTGCCTATGTCTTCCAGCAGGCTTTGAGCTGCTTAGCCCTATTCAATAGGTATTGAATGCTAGGCAATACACAAGGACTGAGCAGTTATTTATCTTTGTATCTTAAGCATGTGGCATAGCTTTGGTACCTTTTGTTATTTTATGAGTGAATACACTACGGGAATGACTAGTGCTGGTAGTTAAGAAAAAGGAGGCCGGGTGCAGTAGCTCAAGCCTGTAATCCCAGCACTTTGGGAGGCCGAGGCGGGTGGATCACGAGGT